TAAGATCTCTAACAAAAGATACAATATTTCAAAAAATGAGATCGTCTCTTTCCAACGGACAAATTCTCATTACCAGCTATAAAATGATGAAGATATGAAGACTTGAAGATGTGGTGAAGAGCATAGAGCAGAGAACACGAACAAAGAGCTAATAGAGCAATAGGGCAAAAATCTCATTTGGTACAGAGCATACCAAAAATCTTCAAGTGAGAAGTGAGAAAAGAAAAAGAACTCAGAGAGCTTCAAGAGAAAAATATTCTGAGAGTTCTTAAACAGAGCAAAACAGACCATAAAAATCAAGTGCTTTACTTGATACACTCAAAGAGAGAAAACACTCAGAGTTATCAAGAGAAATCATTCAAGAGTGTTAATCTTCATCAAAGAGACCTGCGCATCATTGAAGATCATCTACAGAGTCTCAGAAGTTGGAAGCAAGACAACACTTGTTTTGGAGCAAAACAAGAGAAGGGAGGAAAGTAGCACGGAGCTGTGAAATCCTGGATTGTCACACGGAGCTGTGAGATCTGAAGCAGCAGTGTTGGAGGCACTGGGCGTGATTAGTGCGGGCTTTGTGATCAAAGCACTAGATCACGGGATACGTTTCTACCGGAGTGTGGAAGACGGGGGGAAAGTAACGCGGAGTCGTGAAATCCTGGGATAGTAGCGCGGCGACGTGAAACCCGAAGCAGCAGTGTGGTGTCACTGGCCGTGATTAGTGCGGGCTTTGTGATCAAAGCACTAGATCACGGAAATTCATTGTATCTTGGAACCAAGAAGTGGTAGATGTAGTGAATTGCTCTTGGAGAGAAGAGCAAGTGGAGTAGGAAGATTACACCACCTCGCGAACCACTATAATTGTCTTGTGTTCTTTACTGCTTTCTTTACTTACTGCTCTTTACATAATTGCTCTACACGAGATATACTGCTCACACAATCTCACACACACTTTATCTTTATTTAATTCCGCTGTGCACCATACTCTAACAATCTAGTCAAGAGTTTTGGTTTATCACTGGTTTAGCAATTGCTGTGCTGTGCGAAAAAGTTTGAAAGTCTATTCACCCCCCCCCCCCCCCTCCCCCTCTAGACTTTCACCTTACCTCTTTAGGGACCAACAGATTATAACCCTTTGCCACAAGTCTTGCCTTGTACCTTTCAATAGTGCCATCAGCTTTGTGTTTGATTTTGTATACCCATTCGCAACCAATGGGCTTTTTGCAAGGGGGTAAATCTACCAGCTACCAAGTATTATTTCTTTCTAAGGCTTTGAGTTTTTCTGTCATGGCTTCTCTCCAACATTCATGCTGTGTAGCTTCTTTATAATTTCTTGGTTCAGTATGTCCTGAGATGTTCATGACAAATGACTGAAAAGGGGAACCAAGTCTGGTGTAGTCCAAGACCTTATCCATGGAGTGAGGAGAAGTTCTCACTGCACTATTATGACATATGTAATCTTGCAAGTAATCAGGAGTATGAATTTGTCTGGATGATCTCGTAGTAACTTGTTGAAGAGGGTTCTGCTGTGGATCACCCTGGGTCTGTATATTCTCATGTGATGGAGGATGATTCTGATCTATAGGCCAAGATTCACTCTGACTTGTATGCTGCTCAATATCACCAGTATTAAGGGACTAATATTCTTGAAGTTCAGCCATCTCTACTACTTCACCTCCCATTGTGGGCAGAATCAAGTAATGTCCTTTTTGCTTCTGCTTATCTAGTTGAAAGGGAAAGATGTCTTCATGAAACACAACATCCCTGGATAAGAAGAATTCCTTAGAGTTAAGATCATATAGTTTATATCCTTTAGTATGGCTAGCATATCTAAGAAAAACACATTTTCTGGCTCTAGGACTAAACTTTGTTCTTGGTCCTACAGTGGTGGCATACGCTAGGCAGCCAAGAACCCTTAAATCCTGATATTGAGGAATTCTTTTGAGCAAGACATGATAAGGAATTTGATTGTTTATAGCTGCTGAGGGAAGCCTATTAATGATGTATGCTGCATGTAATATGCATTCACCCAGAAGTATTCAGGAAGATTAGCTTGGAATCTAAGTGCTCTGGCTGTTGACACAAGGTGACCATGCTTTCTCTCCACCCTACTGTTTTGTTGGGGAGTATATACAATGGAGGTCTGGTGTATGATTCCCTTTTCTGCAAAGAAATCTCCCATGTCAAATTCCAGACCATTGTCAGATCTTATGCATTTCACCTTAGCTCCAAACTGGTTCTCAACTAGGTTGCAGAAGTTTATGATTAGATTTCTGACCTCAGACTTCATCTTCATCATATAGACCCATACTGACCTACTGTGATCATCCAGTATAGTTAGGAAGAAATTATGTCCATGCAAGGTTGCCACTTTGTAAGGCCCCCAGATGTCCATATGTAACAAGTCAAAGCAGTTAGCAGATATAGAGTCACTTGACTGGAAAGATAATCTTCTTTGTTTGGCAAAATGACAGCAATCACAAATCAGACTTTTATTACTTTGTATTGTAGGTTCCAAGTTCTTCAAGAACTGAATTTTGGAAAAAGAAGCATGCTCTAGTCTACTGTGCCACAAGACACATTTGTCATATACAGAAACAGTATTGCATACAGAGGTAAGAGGAAAAACTAGATAGTACAACCCCTTTTGCAGCTCAGCTCTTCCAATCACTTTGCCATGGATAGCATCTTGTATAATGTACTGATTAGAATGCATCTTAATAGCCCCTCTGGAGTTCTTAATAAAAGCTCCTACAGAGATCAAGTTGTAATGGAAGCCAGGTACATACAACACATCATGTAAAATGAATTCATCTGATAGATGCATTGTTCCAATAAGAGTGATGGTTGCCTGTTGCCCATTTGGCAAACTCATATGTAGGTTTTGAACTTCCTTCTTACTATTGAGTAAGTCTATAGTACTCACAATATGGTGAGTAGCACCACTATCCACTATCCAATCAATTTTGCCATGACTAACAGAATTAAGTAAGCTTATACCTTCACTTTGGAGATCAGTGGCCACAGTGTTGACTGAAGCTTGTGGGGCCTGATCAAGTGGTGTGTTAGTGGCTGACTTCTGCATTTGCATAAACTCCATGAATTTCTTGAAATCATTGTGGGTGAAAGACAGTCCCTCATGACATCTAGGCTGTTGTATAACAGATTCTCCTTGAACCTGATTGACTGAACTCTGGTTTCTTGATCTTGGCTTCCAACTAGGGGGATAACCATGCTTTTTATAGCATTCGTCTTGAATGTGGCCTGTGTAGCCACAGTATGTTCATGTAGGCTTCTTGTTGGATGCATGTGTCTTCTTATATCCTTGCTGGAAACCTCCAGTTGCCAAGAATACACTTCCTGCATTTCCTGTGAGGTTAGTGTTCTCACCAGCTTGATGTACCTGGTTCCCATAGCCAACAGCTACCATATGGAATTGTCTTTCCTGATGTGCAATCATGGAATAGGCATCATTAACATCAGGCAAAGGTCGCATGAGCATAATCTGATTTCTGGCTGTAGTATACTTTTCATGGAGACCTATTAGGAAAATGGATAGCTTGCCCTTTTTCCTTCTGTTCACCAATTTCACCTAGCTTTTTTCCACAATTGCATCTAACAATGCAATCACAACACATTGGTGCCCTAAGTATGACCAATTCATCCCACAGTAGCTTTTGCTTGGTAAAATATTCATTCAGTGAGTCATCACCCTACTTGGTTTGATATATTTCACACAAGATTTCTGCAACTCTGAACAAATCTTGTTGGCTGAATGTTCTTTTCAGGTCCTCCCATATCCCATAAGCTGTGTCTATCCATAAGACACTCCTGCCAATGGTTGGAGAAAGAGTACGCACTATCCAAGCACATACAATATTATTGCACCTTTCCCAGACATAATATCGTTCTAAGTCATCTTGAGAAGGTTTTTTGATTGCTCCATTAATGAAGGCAAGTTTATTCTTGCAGGACAGCGCCATGGTCATGGCCCTAGCCCATGCGTGGTAGTTGGATCCATCCAACGGGAAAGAGACGAGTTCCAAGGCTGGATTCTCGTTGATATGCAGGAAGTATGGATTAGTTTGTGATTGGGGATCATATGTTACCTCTCTAGGGTTAGATCCATTCGCATTTGCATAGGAGGGAGCTGCGTTGCCGTTGAGTTTCCAGTCTGACTAGCTGCTGCATTTCCTGTTGCACTGTGGGCTCGAATTGAGTTGATGTTGATCGGAGGCCAGGCTGTAGTCGCCATTGAAGCAGTCGGATGAGCTTTCACAACCGCTCTGATACCATATTACAAAGTTGACAGAAGGTATTGACAGGAAAGAAAGATTTTATTCAACGACACAACCATGAAGGTCTTTACACTGTTATATAAACATGAGGGGGAGGGACGAAGCAGTTCTACCAAAACAGAAAGAAGGAAAGATAACTGACATAACTAACATGCTATAGACTTCTCCTGATTGCTGCCAAGTGGTGTGATGGATTGCTGCCAAGTGATATGCTATTACTTTGTACTCCTAATAGAGGTTTTGATCAATGGAGTCGACCGAGGGAGGTATGTTTTCTATTATTATTAATATTAATATTAATATTAATATTAATATTATTATTATTATTATTATTATTATTATTATTATTATTATTATTATTATTATTATTATTATTATTATTATTATTATTATTATTATTATTATTATTATTATTATTATTATTATAAACATGAGGGGGAGGGACGAAGCAGTTCTCCCAGAACAGAAACTACCAAAACAGAAAGAAGGAAAGATAACTGACATAACTGCCATGCTATAGACTTCTCCTGATTGCCGCCAAGTGGTGTGATGGATTGCTGCCAAGTGATATGCTATTACTTTGTACTCCTAATAGAGGTTTTGAATAATGGAGTCGACCGAGGGAGGTATGTTTTCTATTAATATTAATATTAATATTAATATTATTATTATTATTATTATTATTTTTTTTGGAAATAAACAACTGCATTAAACCAAATCATCAACCAGTACAGAAAAAAGGATGGAAGGAGGAGCAGTCCTCCATTCCTTACGATCAGCATTGAACATGGCTTCCCTAGCAAGCAAATGGGCTGCCATATTCGCAGATCGTTTAGCAAATAAAAAGCTAACATCAATGAGATCAATAGCTAGATTCCTAATGTCATCTAAAATGAGATCAAAGGAGGTAATACAAGAGAGATCCTTCAGACCATTTATAACAAGGAGAGCATCAGATTCCACCAGTATAGATTGATAGTGCAGAATTTTAATCCACTTCAGGGCTTCTCTAACTGCTATAGCTTCTGCGGTTTTAGGATGGTATGAGCCCTCAATCTGTGTCTGCAAAGCTGCCACAAAACTACCCTTGTCATCCCTTATAATACAACCAATCCCTGTCTTCCTGTTATTGAAATCATTAGCCGCATCAACATTGCACTTGAGGTAGCCAAGTGGGGGTTTCTTCCACCTGACTGTTTCAGCAGGTCTACTAGTTACAACAATTGCATTGTGGACAGAATTCCAAGCATCCAAGAAAGTACCTGCTTTGGCAACTATATTTACTGCACTAGACCTTTTGTTATGCCAAACAACATTGTTCCTTGCTTCCCAAATCTTCCAGCAGACCACCGTGACAAGTTTTAAGCGCTCGCAATCCAGATTTTTCAATAAACCCGCTATCCAATCTTGAAATTGTTGATCCGAGATAAGAGGTATGTCGGGCACCACACTCCAGCATTCTTTCGCAAAGTCACAGGTCAGAAAGAGATGATCAATAGATTCAGGATGGGAGTTGCACATTTGACAAGTAGTAGGACAGTCAACCCTCCTAGAACGGAGAATATCGGTTGTAGGGAGAACTTTTGAACATGTATGCCACAAGAAATTCTTTATCTTCGGGGGGATTGATAGATTCCAAATAGGTGTCAAACTGAGTTTCTCCGCATCATGCCAACCATTATTGAGGAGTCTGTAGCAGCTTTTAACAAAATAGGTCCCTTTTCCTCCGCAATCCAAACCAACCTATCATCAAATTTCTGAATTGGCAGTGGGATCGATAAAATCTGCTTCCAATCTTCTTCCAGAAATATATCCTTGATAACCTCTTCATCCCAAGCTTCCTGCTGGACATCCATGAGAGAAACTACCTTTGCATCTTCCAAGTACTGTGGCATAGGTGTAGATACATAAGGGGCCTCTTTGTTTGGGAACCAAGGGTCTTTCCAGACATTTATAGACAACCCATTTCCCACTCTCCACCTGCAATTTGCCTTCAGAATGGGTTGGGATTCCATTATACTTCTCCACACAAAGGTGGGGTTGCTCCCAAGCTTTGCATCAAGGAAGGATGAATTCCTGAAATACTTGGCTTTAAACACTTTGGATACAAAGGACTCTGGGTAATGAATGAACCACCAAGCTTGTTTCCCTAAGAGAGCAATGTTGAACTCTCTAAATCTCCTAAAGCCCACGCCACCTAAGGTTTTTGGTTTGCATAACTGATGCCATCTTTTCCAGTGGATGCCTTTTCCGTTGTCAAGATCTCCCTTCCACCAGAACTTGTTCAAAGATGTCTCAATGCTGTTACACAAGCCCACCGGAAGCAGAAAAATTCCCATGGCAAAGGTAGGGATCGCAAGAAGAACATTTTTTATAAGAACCTCCCTCCCGGCCTTCGAAAGAAACTTGTTATTCCAGCTTCTAATGCGACCCAGAATTTTTTGCTTTAAGAATCCCAATATTTCATTTTTCCCCCTTCCAATCAAAGAGGGAAGGCCAAGGTACTTCCCAGTATGACCCCCTTCCACGATTCCCATAACATCGCTGACCACTGCCCTAGATAAGCTGTCCACATTCCTGCTAAAAGTGAGGGCTGATTTGGTGTAATTGATAACCTGTCCCGACGCCAGAGAGAACTCATTTAGTATAGCTTTCATGGCATTGGCTTCGAAGAAATTCGCTCTACAGAACAGTAGGCAGTCATCCGCAAAGAATAAGTGACTGATTTGAGGGGCTCCCCTAGCGATCGTGATCCCATGAATGTTGTTGTTGTGAACCTGCTTGTTGATCATAGCACTTAGGCACTCCATCATCAGGATAAATAAATAGGGGGAGATTGGGTCTCCCTGCCGTAAGCCTCTCGAAGGAGTAATAGGGCCCAACTCTTGCCCGTCCAACATAACCTTGAATTGGACTGACTGAACGCAACCTGTAATCATGTCAACAAAATCCTGGCAGAAACCCAACTTCCTAAGGGTACCCTCAACAAGATCCCAACTCACCCTGTCATAGGCTTTACTCATGTCAATTTTCATACTCACCTCCCCACTCTTACCCTGCCTTTTCCTATTTAGATAATGATGAGACTCATAAGCTAGAAGGAGGTTATCAGTGATGAGGCGATTGGGAACAAAAGCACACTGGGCACTGGAAATAAAATAATTGAGCAAGGGTTTGACTCTGTTGGCAATAGATTTAGCAAGGATTTTGTACAGGACATTGCAAAGCGCTATGGGTCTAAAATCAGACATAGACTCGGGTTTGGAGACTTTTGGTATAAGAACAATGTGAGTATTGTTACAGCCAAAGGGGAGACATTTAGACAATCTAAAGTTTTCACAAAAAAACACCACTTCCCTACCCACAATGTCCCAATAGTGTTGGAAGAAACCTGGGGTAAGACCATCCGGGCCAGGGGATTTTTCAGGCTTCATTTCAAATATGGCTTTCTTGATCTCTGCATTATCAAATTTTCTAACCATCAAAGAGTTCTGAATATCAGATATTTTCCTGTCTAAGCATTCAGTTACCGGAGTGATATTCCCCTGAGAAGATTGAAACAAGTTTTGGAAATAATTGGTAACTAGAGAGTTCATTTCGTTACCTCTCTCCACCCAGTCTCCGGCTTCGTTCCTCAGTCTCCTGATTTGATTTGTCTGCCTCCTACGCCGAACTGAATTGTGGAAAAATATTGTGTTCTGATCCCCTTCATGTAGCCAAAACTCCTTTGCCCTCTGCCGCCAGTAGGTATTCTAGTGATCAATTGCCCTCAGATGTTGTATCTGGGCTTCTTTGTACATCGCACAACCACGGGCATCAGTGCGACCTTTAAGATGCTCCAATTTCTTCTGCCAGTAATCGATACGTTGTCGGAAATTCTTAGTGAGACATCTTCCCCACCTCCAAACTGCCTTGCCACACCTATCAAATCTGTCTAGAACGTCCAGGCCCTGAGTTGAATTCCAGCTGTCTAAAACAATTTCGCGACAATGTGCTTCCTTTAACCAAAGGTTCTCAAACTTGAACTTAGTACTATAATGGGCATTAGGATTCACTTCGCAGTTCACGAATAGAGGTAGATGATCACTCCTAGATGAAATTAAAGATGAAGCTTGTGCATCCCCAAACTCATCCCTCCAAGAATCCGAGACCAGAATGCGGTCTAATTTGGCCTGAATCCACTCTGGCTTACCCCGCGACTTTTTCCAGGTAAATTGATGTCCATTGAAACTGAAATCCGATAGACCACTTACCTCCATTGCCTCTCGGAAGCCCTCCATGAGCCAATTTGGTTGAGGGTTTCCCCCCTTCTTTTCAGATTGATCCAAGATATCGTTGAAATCGTCAACAACTACCCATGGTAAATCATATTGCGATGAGAGGTGTTTGAGAAGGTTCCAACCAATGTGTCTACGGCCTCTGTCCGGCTCCCCATAAAAACCAGTGAGTCTCCAAACTTTACCATTGTCTTCTTTTTTCACTATGGTATCAATGTGTCGAGAGGAAGCTCTTGATAGTGACGGTCGGACCTAATTTCCAGAAGCACGCTAATCCTCCGCTATGTCCCCTGTTCTCTACTGCTAAGAGACCTTCAAAACCCAGTCTACGGCGGATGGGCTCCAATTTGCTACGACCAATGAAGGTCTCAATTAAGAAAACAATGTTAGGCTTCCTTGAGTGGATTAAGTCCACTAGAACTTGAACTGGCATGGGATTGCCCAGCCCACGGCAGTTCCAAACTAAGATTTTCATTGGTCTAGGCGGGCCTGAGAAACAGGACCCGCCTTCAACAAGTTTTTTGGCACTTCAGCAAGATCAACAACCATCAGGCCTTCCTCAGATAGCCCATTACAATTAGGCCCATCCAACTCAGCAGTTCTCTTACGCCTTTTCTGATGAAGAATCATTTGGCCCACCTCATTTGTCTTAGGTTGACTTTGGAACGGCATGCCTACAGTGTCAGAAGGGTAATTAAATGCTAAGCCCGCTCCTCGCCTGCTCACTGCAGACTGAGCCTGCAATGTAGCATGCTCATTAACATCCATCGGATAAATCCCTTCAGTAGCATCCAACGATCGATTATTAATGCGCCTGGGAGAGTAGTAAATGCCTGCATCACTGTGACACTGCTCTTTTCCAGACTGATCAATATTCGTTGGGCAAACATTAGTCACATGTTCTTTTTGTCGTATTTGATCCTCGTACCTCGGTACCTGAGCACCCTCCGTCTCTCGGCTCCGGCTGTTCGTATTGTTTCCGGCCCTCTCAGATTTCTTGGTTGGAAAATCGTCTAGGAGCCATTTGTTTTCAGTGTTCTGTATACGGCGGCCCGCCACTCTCAGCTCCGGACCGTAAGCTCTATCGAGATCATCGTTCTGAGTTTCAAACTGGGCTGGGCAGAAGCTTTCCGCGTGGCCTATCCTTCCACACACAAAACAGAACGTTGGTAACCGTTCATATCTGCATTCAAGCGTCATGCTTTCTCCACCTGGTGGTTTGATCCTGACCTTCCTCCTCAAAGGTTTGGTAATGTCAATGCATACCCGTAACCTGGCAAAAGCATTCTGCGAACCATCATAATGTGTGAGGTCAGCTTTAACGAAACTCCCAAAGAGAGCTCCTATGGCTTCCATCATCTGCAGGGTAGACAGTTTCCGAGGAAGCTTATGAATTTGGACCCAAAATTCTGCCTCCTTCAGATCAATGTTGTGAGGTGATTCGTTATGCTTGAGCTTCCGTAGGACAAGCAAACTCTGTTCGAAGGACAAAGGGCTATTTTCCAGAACTCTTCTTCTATCTTTCTCGTGAAAGAAATAAAAGATAAAGAGATTAGTAGAAATCTCTTTTGCCACCATCCCTTTCACCGGTCTCCAAACTGTTGATAGGGTTTCCTTTAGGTAGTTGAACTTCACATTCTTTTCTGTGATTAGGGTTCCAACAAGCATGAAAAACTCTACCTCGTCTGTGTCTTCTTCTCCAAAAGGGAGCTCCACCTCTAGGTCGTCGTTATTCTGGATGCTGAGTGATGCATAGTAGTCCTCTAGAGTTTCTTTTCCCTTACTGCTAGAGGCCATGGCGAGAGTAGGGAGAAAAGCAGCGATGCAAAGGAATGTTGGAGGGGAATAGTGTTTGGTAGGAAGACAATGTGTAACTCGGTGACAGACTTAATAGCCACACCCTGTAAGTAGTAGTACACCAACCTTTCTGTTGTCATTAATATAGTTCATCAGATCAGCACCAACCTTACTATTGCCATAAATGCAGATCATCAATATTGGTCATAAATGAGATGGGGAAGAAGGGAAAACAAAAACCCAACAACAGAATGGGAGGAAGCAACAAGAAAAGAGGAGAGGAAACTTGTTAACAAGAACAAGAGGAAAAACTTGTTAACAAGAACAAGAGGGAAAAAAACTCTCCAGAGAGCTGAATTAAGGTTTTTGGAGATAAACATCCGATTTGCTGAATTAAGGTTTTTGGAGATAAACATCCGATTACATTGAATTCAATTTAATGTGTTG